CTGAATGAATAATTCAAAAACAAACTAATAATTTACAAACATATTAAAAATTACTCTGCCTAATTCTTCACCGCCGCGTCGCCTAGTCGAAGATGCATGAGCGTCCCTGCCTTTACATCAAAGCATTTAATCACTGTCGTTGCATTGGAAAGTTGCCATAATTCTAAGGAAAACAATTTGTTAACTTGATTAGAAGCGACAATGCGAGCGTTGCAGTTGCCTGGTGTGCCAGGGCAGAGAGTTCTATTGCCCTCAGATTATTTTGGAAGCTAAATTAAAAGGCATAAAAACAGATTTATGACTTTATTTGAATTAAATCACTATAAAAACGCACAATTCATTTAATTTAGGAAATAATTCCTAAAATTTTTTGAATTCTCAGGAATCAGAAATTTTGGAAATATTTATAAATATTGAAAATTGACAGATAATAAATGACATGTTGAGTAGTTTATGTTTCAGAAGAAGGTTTTATGGATTATGTATTAAATATTTTGTAAACAAAACAAAATACATACATATAAAATTCTTTGTCAATAATTTAAGATGTGATAATTTTTTCTAAAATATAATAATTTCTTCATTAACATTTTTGATAAGAACTACAGAGCAGGATCTTTAACTACATTGGAGAGATATGAATAATTATCATTTTATTAAAAAACCAAAGCATGATTTCTCATTTTAGAAATTCTTTAAATATTACTCCTACAACGCCACTTGGTCTAACGATAGATCCACGGTTGCCACTTATGGTACTTTTTTTTTCGTTTGGTACTCATGTTCAAAAATGGTACATTTTTGACGACCAACTTTATTGTGGATATTTCCAATTAATTTTTTTTATAAATGCAACTTTGCACCATTTTATATTTAGTTCATTTATAACACTATGAAAAACACAGAACGAAAAAATAAAAAGGTCCAAAAAAATTTTGGACCTTTTTAAACCAATTTTGGTACAGGAAAAAATTTTCAAGTGGCAACCGTGGATAGATTGTTTTTAAGATTGGTTCGCTCCAAAATACTGATAAAATCCGTAACCTTTTATAGTGACATCAAGATATATTATAAAAGCAATATACAATATTCCAAGATATATTTCAATATAAGTCACGCCACTGATAGTTAACCACAAACAGATATTGATATTGATGTAAATAATGATGTAGATAATGATGTAGATAATGATGTAGATAATGATGTAGATAATGATGCAGTAATGAAACATTATTTTTACATATAGTTCCCATCAGTAAATTAAGATTAAGATTAAATTATATATAATTCAATTGCAGTGCTCTTAAATATTAAAAACTAATATTAATTTTTATGTTTATTCCATTTAATAGATGTTGTATTCTTTGTATCTTACGATTTCCTCCACATAGTTGCATTATTTTATGCATATACCTGAAAAACACTACTCTGCCTTTAGAAACGATAAATACTGTAAATTAGTTGGATTTCACTGCGATTAAAGACGAGATTTGCTTAATAACAACTAATACTTAAAAATTTTGTGACCTTCTAATAAATCCGTCTACAAACAAACATTTAGGAATAACATATTTCACGACAACAATATGAATAAAGCGAAGTGGTATAAATATGTTAGTTGTAGTTAAAATATAATATTTTAGGAACAGTTACAGACTTTGTTGTGGATTATTTTTTAATATCAGGATAACTTAATATATTTCTATTTATTGCTTTATTATTATATCTATAAGAAAGGAATGCATTAAAATCCGTTTAATAGATTTAACGAGACAACCATTCTTGCATATGTCAAGCGTTCTTACTAATATAAGATCACCAATATGGCAAAGCGTTTGCGTTTGTAATAAATATATTACATCACTCAATAAGTTGTATGACTCACACACAGATGGCGCTGCCATTGTGAAATCCATATGATGTTTATGAAGTACCAACGTTCAAAAGACTATGTGTAATTGCAGAAAATGAAGCCTAATTTGAGGTAAAAGACAAATCCTTCTACAAGCACGGCATCGAGAAGTTAGAGAAGCGTTAGAATGATTGTATTGCCCTTGAAGGAGATTATATTGATGCGTAAAATCGATTTTTGGCAGAAAAAATTTGTTTTTCTTAGGTAGTCACACGACTTATTGAATGATGTGTTATATGGTAATTGCAATTATATTCTTAAGCGATTTAGGAGTATGATATAGTGATAGAAGTGTTGCTTCCGGAAAACGTATATGAGGTGTATTGTAGCGTTTCTATTCCTATTATCGACATTGGAATATATTTTGTGAATGGAACATGGCAAGCAAGGGCTACTCTTGAAACATTCTGTTGAAAATTTATATAATTTGAGTTTCCTGCATATAAGTAACTGTTGTGAAAATTTATCAAAATGTACAGTATATATAGTTTTGGATATACTGATTGCATGGTTTGTAAAAAACCTCATGCTCTTGTTTCACTTAAGGATATTTATATACTTTTTTTTGATTGATAGAACTTATTGATGGCTCCAACAAAGTTCAACTATCATAAAATGATTCTGAATATTGAATATTTTCGATAATATTGTCTTATATATTTTCCACTTTCTTTACATTTAATATTACACTAAAATTTTAAATTTATTGCATTTTATATAAAAAAAAAACATGTTGCCAAAAAATAAGTAGTAAGTTGAATTTTGGTCACTGTTAACTTTTAGACATCTTAAAATTCGAATAGCACTGCTATCGGACAATGATTGCTTTCCAAGTACTTGTCTTCTATTACGCTTTTCATGATTTTCGGAATAAAGCGTTCAGATACAATGCAATAATCCAGACGCCAACCAACACTATGTTCGCGTCCTTCACCTCTTCTAGACCAGTATGTATATGCATCTTTACAATCAGGATTAAAGTGACGAAAAGTATCCACAAAACCAGAAGTAAGCAATTCATTTAGTTTTTCTCGTTCCTGTTTTGAAAATCCAGGAGTTTCTTCACACAATTTCGGTTTCGATAGGTCAATTTCCTTGTGTGAAACGTTCAAGTTTCCACATATTATAACTGGCTTGCGTTTGTTTAACTTTTGTACGTGCTGATGAAATAAGCTGTCCCATCTTAAGCGATACCTTAATTTTGCTAGATTCACGCCTGCACTTGGTACGGCAACGCAAACTACGAAGAACTTTTCAAACTCGGCTGTAATGACACGGCCATTGAAGTCAACAATTTGTATCCCATAATCAACATTCATCGGCATCTTCTGACTGAAAACAGCCACTCCATTACTGCCATCAGGTACACATAACCAGTATTGATGAAAACCTTCTACACGTTTGACGACATCTGGAATCCTACCAAAGGAGCAGTTCACTTCCTGCATGCAAAAGATATCAGGTTTTTCTTTTTCTAAGTACTTAAGACCTCCTTTTCGCGACCAAAGATGAACACCATTGACATTCCAACTTGAAATTTTAAAATTATAAAATACTATATTGTTGTCCGTTCGGTGCTTTAGCTTGTTACGTTTTAAATCTCTGCATATTCTTTTCGCCGGAGGTAGTTCTATTTCTTGATCGGTATTATCTGAAAATGGGCGACGACGTTTTCGGCTCAAACGTTTTACAACTAATGCTTCTAACGACAGTTTTTTTACAATATTCACGTTTTGCTCAGTTGTGTCTACTACTAATTTTGAGGAACTCGGTTCTTCCGTTGTTTGGGTTGGTGCCTCGCTTTCCAGATTTTTGATTTCATCTGTATGAAGAGAATCAGCTGAATTATTATGCTTTTCATCTGTTACAGATTGTTCTAATATTGTTTGATCTGCTATTTGATTTTCCTGAGCAGTGCACTTAGTTGCGTGATTTTCGTCATTGTCCGATTTAATAACTGTAACTGGTTGTTCAGCAAGAGTACTGGTTTGCATCTCAATATTACTTACCAATTCGTCAGAGATAGCAGGTTTCTCTGCTGAAGTTACTTGTTTTTTAGTGACTAAATCCTCTAGCGCTGGTATTTTAACAATACGTCCCGTTTGTAACCTACTATCATCCACCATATTTTCCAAATCTGTGAATTCATTCGCGAAGATTGTTTGAACACTTTGTTCATTCTCGGGTTTGTCACCTTTAGGAGTATCAGATGAAGTGCTTTTTGTTTCGTTGGTATTGCATTCTTTTAGTTCTTTCTGATCATTTATATGTTTTTCACAGGACTGGCAATTTGTTATGTGGTCTTCAACTCTATTTAACTCGGTGACTGAAGCTACTAATGTAGGTATTTTCACTAGACTGTCTTTTTGCACTTTATCATCATTAACATGGCTATCGGAAGTTGTAACTTGTTCTGTTGAAGTCATTTGATCAGTTTGTTGATTTTTGCTGTCAACTAAGCAAAGACAATTTGTATTACTATTAGTTTTTTTACTAACGGCACAGGCTTCTAACACTTTCTGAGGATTAACTTGTTCCTCATTGGATGAGGAGTTAGTTGTATTTTCTTCGACTTTGTTTAAGCTAATGACTGCAGCAGCTTCATTATTCACTTGACTTATTGAAACTTCCGTGTTTATCGTACCGATCATATCATCATTCTTTTGACACTCAAATTTTTCTAAAATTCGGTCATCTTCTTCTTTCAGATCTTCTTTAAGAAATTCATAAGCCGCAGAAGTTTTTTGTTCAATTTTCTTATTGCTTTTTGGTGCAATAACGACTTCATCCATTTGATGTGAAACACATGCTTTCTGCTCCTTTAACTCAACCTGGACATCTTTTGGTATTACGACTTGATCTGCTGTAGCTGCATTTTCTATTGTTTCTTCTTTTGTAGGACTAGGCACGTCTATTATTATCTGGAATAATGCTTATAAAAAATTGCATCTCATTGTATTTTAGTCACTTACTTCTTTTGGTGTGGGGAGGTCGGTTTCAAAAGATTTGACCGGGAACTCATTCAGGCAATTTTCTAAGTATGCTGCAGTTGCTATAATGGTCGGTGCATCGAAATCATCATCAGAGTTTGCTGCAGTGACTCTGTTCAGAATGTCTTTAACATTTTTTGTGAAAACTGCTACAAATTTACGCTTTTTAGTCGATTTTGGCATTTTAAATTTTTATTTGGATATATTTTCCGAAAATTTTGATGGGAATAATTTTCCAAAGTTCGTGTTGTGTATACTTCGAATAAAAATTTTCTTTTAAGTTAAAATTTACATTATGATTTTGAAAGAAAATTAGGATTACTACGTTACAATCAAACAGAAATATTTCGAAATTTTTGAATATTGATTAAAAACACCTGATAAAAAAATGTTGACATATATATATATATTTCCATACTATTAAAGTCATTTGGTATTTCTTTGATACAAATTTCTTTTAATCCTCAACTGTATATGTATTTAAGAAAACGAGTATGCCAGACAATATATCATTATGACATGCAATTGTCCATAAGTAAACAAAAACCTTTTGTACCTGTATTATCCTTGCTATTAACTCAACTGTCTTGAGCGATGATTGATGCAGCAAAATGACTAAACAATTTTCCAATTTATAGTAGTTTTATTCCTGCAAAAATCATTGCAAATAAATGGTCTCGAATAAATTTATTTATTTGTTTGTATATCCTTGCCCGGCGTGCATTATCCTGCATAAAAATGTCAATTTGATTTTCTTTCGTGCGCTGACATTTGCAGTTTTTCTAATTAAACGTGAACTTCACTAAATTATCTGTCAAAATTGCTGCGCCCTTCGAAAGGAAAGGGAATGGACAGAGCATGGAAGTCAAAATGATAACTTTCTTTCATTTTTGTGATATCATCGTAAATAAAATTTTTGCTCATTACTCGTATTTTGACGCTGATTTAGTTGATTACACTCCACCTTCATCCACAAGGATTATATTTCTGCTTAAGTGAAATTACTGTGTAAATTGGTTTGAGATTTGTTGCAATTGTGGGTGTGCTTTAGTATGAAAGTATCCTTATTATGTTTACTGGAAATGTATTTATATGAATTATTCATGTAAGTAATTTAAGTGAATTGGGAGTGGCTGACAACTACTCTATACAATTATATCCCTTAGTTGAATACTATGAGTGGTTGTATAAAACAAATGCATGTCAATATATGAGAGCAAATCACAAGAAAGATAAAACCGTTGCGACTATGATTTGTAATTAAATCAATATAAAAAATAAATTAATGGATAAATTTTAAAATAGTTCGTATTTAAGTATACATTCCACCGTATATGAATGAGTGTTAAGCATTTCACGAACTCTGCATGGTAATCTCCCTGCTGACCAAACTGATTTGCGAAGAACAGAGCAATGAGAATTATCTCCAATGGATGACTGAGTTACATAAGGAGAGAATCTGGAACTTTCAAAATAAAAAACAATTATCTTTAATATATGGCAAGGTCACATAAGAAGCGAATCAAGAACTTTAAAAATAGAAAGGAATTATCTCTAATACATGACTAGATCATATAAGAAGCGAATCTGACTTCATCAAGTTGGTACTGTCATATTATAATAGTGGGAAATATCACAATTTTGAGTTCAAACTTTTTCAGAGCAAATATACACGCTATCGAATAAAAACGTGACCGATTTTGGATATATTTCTTATGTGTCTTATGTGGAAAAACTTGTTGCTAAAAAGTTGTAAGGGAGATCGATATTTCTAACCTTTGGAAGATTTCCCCTTTTTTAATTCCTAATTCAGCTTATTTATGGCCATGCTTTCAACCTTAAATAAATCTAGCCTGCTAGGTATTAAGCCCCTCGCTCTAATCTCTATCCCTTTATTACTGGAATTAATGTTGTGGAAACTTTCTCCAGTCATTTCGAAGAGGTGGTTTTAGTACGTTAAATTCTCATACTGTGGTTTTCGATGCTTTCCTTCTAATGCAAAAAAAGAACTTTTAAAAAATTCTTATATCTAATTGAAGTATAGATATTATGTTAGTTACTTATATAGTTGGCCATTACAGACCGCGTCCACCAGTCAGCACGATTAACTGTTTTGTGATGCCAGTCTGTAGTACGGAGCGTCCTAAATCGTTGATAACCTGGTCCTTCCACCGAAGATGCGGACGTCCGCGTTTTCCACCTGCGGGTACCGAATCAAATACCTTTCTAACCGGAGCACTTTCTTTCATTCCCACGACATGACCAAGCCAGCGTAGCCGCTGAATTTTTATACAGGGGCTACGATATTATGTTAGTAATAGCTTATTAATGATAGTAAATTGCAGAATGTGAAGTTTTTACCCCAATGGTTTGTAGTATTCGTTTACTTACTATTTAATGGCATCTTTAATATTGTGTTTTAGTTTATCATAAGCTTAATACATTAACTTAATAAATTAGCTATAGAAACACACATTTTGATTGAAATCATTTATTATACTCGTATATAAAAATTTTTATTGAAACATAATTAATTAATAATTTTTCAAAAACCGTGAATAATCCAACAATTAAAATTTTTTAAACTCAAATCAAAGGAAAGTTTAGTAAGCGTTGACAAATCTGATTTATTGCCAAAAAGTAGTCCACAGAATTTGAAAGGAAAACCCTTTTATACCACAATACTTCAATCCTTCCATAAAAACCAATTACGAAGAGTGCTCCGCCCGAGAACCAACAATTCAAATGCTAATGCGGTAATTAATCAAAGAACTTATCAAAAGGATATAGAGCATACTCATAAAGCATAATAAATAATTATTAAAATATATGTGAATAAGGATTCAAAATGTAGACAAAGCGGTAAGTAATCCATCAAAAACAGAATAAACAATATGGCGTTAAAATTCACGGATTGTTAACTCTTAGCTGACGCAGTGCAGGGTTGATTAAAAAGGATTAAAACTGCGTAAAGAGTGCGGTTGGTGTTGAAAAGTGGCTTCAAAGTGGCAATAAATGTGATGCACTTTGGTCAACTGAGCAGAACGTTTTATGGAATTTCATTCTACTCTGAGCTTTAATATTTGAACACTTTGAAGGTTATAATGAAGCTAAGTTATTGAGTAAGAGTTTCATGCATTATTTATAAGATTTTATTGAGGAATAGAAAAAGTGTTTGATTGGTGGCGGAAAACTCATTAAAATTGTCTATTTTGCCACATTAACTTTGGTTGTTAACAAAAAAATAGAAAAAGAAAAAGAAGATTTTTCTTTCTATTTTAACTATTGTGTATTTTAAATAATTTTTGCATTAAAGTGATAGAGCACGTTCCAGTAGTGGTAAGTGCAATAAATTAGCCACAGAATAACAGCAAAAGCGGCACTTGAAATACAACAGAAATAAAAGAAAAAAATATAAGACAATTGACAACTTAAGACAATAAAACATTTAGAACCTACTGAAAGTGGTTACAAAATTGAATAAATTAAAATTTAAATTTTCATGTTAACACAGAATGAAATTACTTTAAAAAAAAATCTGAGATGCAAACGTGAAGTATCAATTTTGCCAGACATTTTTTGACATTTTCTGAGCCGCAGCAGAAAAAGGTGAAAAAAGGTGCAATAAATTTTCGTGTAGGCGCTGCACTCGTACGAGCAATAATTGCAGAAAAGCAGTTGCCAACACATCATATCAGCAGCAGACATGGCCACAGGTGCTAATCATTATTCCAAATGCATCCAACTTGTGCGCAGTTAACATCACCGAATGCGATGTTTTATTTTCCAACTTGACTTGGCTTGGATTCGCCGAGGCAGCGCTTACATTACCTATTACGGTTTATGGAATTATTGCAATGAATTTATTGACAATTCCTTGTGCGATCGTCTGCACGTTGAGGTCTGCCGCTTCGCGTTACAACTTTATTGTTGACAGCTCAACTTGCACTTCACAATTTTTTCAATTCAATTTCATTTGCTGATATTCGCAATTTATTATGTGAATGATTTATAAGTTTGCAGGGAGTTGCTTAGTTTATTCATGACTTTAAGGTGTGACTGGTACAAGAGCACGATTAGTTAAGTAAATATAGAGTCAAGAAAAAATTATTTAGATTGTGGATATATTTGCTTGAGTGACTTTATCAAATATTTATTAGTACATCATTGTGGGAAAGAATAAAACAGGTTGAAAGTGTATCAAAAGGAATTACTTTGTGATATACTGAAATATTATCGGTTGAAAAAAGAATCAGATCAGTAAACATTGTGAATTCTAGTTAAGGAAAAGGAGGGTTAATAGTACTTATATAAGTAGAAGATTTTACATTAACAACGTAATACAGATAAAGATTACTTGTTAATGAATGTAATCCTATTAAATGGATATAATGCTTTGATATACTCAACTACATTGGCGTTTTTAAAAAATGGAAGCAAATATCTAAAGATAAGACCAAAACAAAAAAAGCAACAGAAATCAATCATAAATTCTCCGATCTTTAACATTGTGAGTATATAAATAAGTCCACTACACAAATCGCTTTAAATATAAGTGTACCTTTTTATAAGATCATATGTATGGGTTAATATTCTTCGTATAGCCTTGGATTACAATATGAGTGTATTAAGATATTAAATACATTATAGGAAAAGTACACAAATATGAATACATTATTCAAAGTGAAAGTTATAGACTTTTAAACTCATATACTACTGTACCTCAGGCTGACATATCATATTGTTTTATGATATTAAAATGCAAAAGAAACTGAAAGACTAAAATATCGTTCATATTGTATCAGTTAAGGAATTGACAAACCCAGTACTTAAAAATAATTAATCAAAAATAAATTTAAATCAAATGAAGAAAGTTTCTTATCACAAAGTAAATGTTTTGAAATATCTAAAACCTTAATAAGTAATATAAAACGATTTTAAGTACTCGTACTAATACCACTAACTTTTTAATAGGTAGTTCTAGTAACCACATAAATAAGTGACGTTGTTGCAAACTATTCTGTTTTTCTGTGCCAGTTTGAGAAAAATGGAGGCTATCAGCTAATTTTCCTAATGGGGATTAAATTTCTTTTCTCAAAAGTATAACATACTTAATTATAGATATTTCTACTAGGTTACATAAATAATTATGGCATTCTTTCACTCTTTTTGGGTATGACCAAAAGACATGTTATGCAGTTACTCATATCACAATTGTTAATTTTAATTTTTAATAGAACTTCCGCCGAAAACCCTAGTTTCGTTGAT